TTTTCAAACAAGTTCTTAAACATATTTTCCCTAAAACATTGAACAGTAAATAAAGAAGTAAAGTAAGCAATTATCTTTTCTAGTTACTACCCTTGCTGCTGCTTGATGTAGGTTGCTAAGCCTTTAAAAATTTTGCATGTGGAGAATATGAAACAAAATATTTTTTTTATGTTTTATATATACATTTGAATAACTAAAAAATCATAAATTACTACATCAATACCATAGAATTCGATTATAATTTATCAAGCTTAGTAACTAAGATGCATTTTACTCTTTAAAAAATATGAAATTTCAAGCAGAATAAAAACACAACCTACCTCATTTAAATGAAAGAAATTATGCTAGGTATGTTAGAAAGGCTTAGAAAACCACTAGGGGACATTCTGAGCTTCCTATTGGTTATTCATGTAATATATAGAAGTAAGTTTTTATAAGGGAGCATTTCCAAAAATGGAAGAAGGTGAGTGTGGTGCCACTGGGTTTGATTTATTACATGAGCAATATCTTAGCAAATAAAAAAAGATAAGACCTTTTATATTCTAGTTTGTAAATATCAGTAATTGGAGTTTCTAATACGTACGAAACTATAGACTTAGTATTTTGACTTCACAAACATCTAATTTGAACCAGTGCTGCATTCAACATACCACGTGACACACAAAAATTGATGTTTATCTGTTTTTTTTATATTTACTTATAATTATAATGTGAATTATAATCTACAGTTTGTTACTAAACTTATTGACATAAATTCATGAAATAATAGTTCAATTAAAATTTGAATGCAAGTCAAGAAACATGATGACATGACCTTTCACCTATGATTCATTTTGAAAGGATTAAGTGAAGGACCTTTTGGATAGTGACTTATTGGAGACACAAGATAGGTCTGAAATGCTATTTTTACATGCCTTTGATCTTAATCTGAAATTAACAAATTGGAGGGAACATGAATGGGAAAGATTAGCAGTTTGCATGATTTTTATCATAAATTTTGAGCTTGTTTTAAAGATAAGTTTTTAAGTTAAATGTAGTAGAATCAAGAATAAGCTTAGTTGCTGTTATTTTTAGGAATAAAATGCATGAAACAAGCTTTTACCCAGGATTTTAGTAGAGGTAATAGATCCATATATGGTCCATCTTGGGGTGTTTTTCAGTGCACTCTGAGTCGAGCTCAACCTTCTCCCCTCAGATTTCATGCTAGGGAAGGAAATCTCAGGCATTTGCTTATGTCACCTTCTCCCACTGAATGGATGGTTCTGTCTCTTTTGGATCAGGCCCATATGAGTTCCCTTCAGTGGTCATTTCTTGGTCAGTAGTTTTTGCATACTGGTCCTTTTGATTACACAGTCTCTTTGCAGTTCTCAAGTGGTGGCTAGGTAGGAACAACACAAATATCAGCGTATGGATACCACCCCCTCATGTGGAAATCCATCTCTTCATGGACGCTTCTCTTCACGGATGGGGTAGGCATTCCAGGGTATTTGAACCAACTACAAATCTACCCTGCATATTAACATTCTCAAACTTTTTGCAGTACATCTAGTGATGATTCCAGGTCTTCCCCTCTTGCATGACAAAATAGTCATGATTCATTCTGACTACTCCACAGTGGTTTCATATCTTTCTCATCAGGAAAGTTCTCATTCTTGAGGTCTTGGTTTTTATGCTTTGGATCTTCTTTTTTTGGCTCATTCCAATGACATCCATCTTTTGGCCTGTCATATGCCAGGGGGTATTATTTTGATAGTATATTGCCTTTCTCGAACCCATCAGATTCTTCCACCAGTATGGATGTTCCATCAGGTGGTCTTTCAATGGATTTGTTCTCTGTTTGGCTCTCCAATGATAGACACCTTTGCAACCCATTGGAATGCCATCCTACAGGTCTGGTCTCCAATTCCACATCCACAACCTCTGGTGATAGATGCTTTCATTCAAGACTGGACAGGATTCTATTTGTATGTCTTTTCTCTTATTCATTTCTTACCCAGACTCTTGTCTATGATTCATTTCATCCCATGTTAGGTTCTCTTGTCAGACCTTTTTGACCTGCCACCTTTTTGACCTGCTCAGACATAGTTTTCTCATCTTCAGTTGCTCCAGGAATGATAACCACTACCTTATCATTTCAAAAGTAGTTTTCCCACCTTTGTTTTAATGTATCAACTCTCTTATTGTACTTGTGTACTATCCACCTCCTTTCCGAGGTGCTCCACCACAACCTTGAGGGTTTTTTGGGAGATAGCCTCTCTCTGATTATCTCCACATTGGCTTTCTTCAGCTCTTTCCTTACACACCTGGTGTTTCTGTTGTTAGAATCTTCTGGGTGTGGATGCTGTATTGTCCCAAGTTCATTTACCACTTATCTCTGGAACTTACGTATGGGCTCCCTTTCTCCATTGAGTATGTTTTCAGAAATATTGCTGAGACTTTGAAATCTCGTGCTTAATATTTGTCTTCTTGCATGCCATGTTCCAGGTGCATTCAATCTTGTTGCGGATTGTCTTTCCCGTCCCAACAAAGTTTATCCAACATTATAGTCTCTCGATCCTATAATTTTCCAGTGGCTATGCCTTTGGTGGGGTACTCCTCACTTTAATGCATTTGCCACACTCATCAGTACAAAATTACCTCTGTTTTGGTCTCCGGTTCTTCATCCACTTGCACTGATTGTTGATGCTTTCAGTCAGGATTGGACCAACAAATATTTTAATATGTATCCTCTCAGCTGTTTTCTTCCCAGTGTGAATTTGATCATCCACACCACACATTGTCAGGTCTTTTGGATTGCTCCTTACTGGCCAGCACAACTGTAGTTTCTGCGGCTGCTCCAGCTCCAATCTGCACCAACATTACCTCTTCCTTTTACTCCATCCCTTCTGTGTCAATCTTGGTCACCGACATTTTATCCAGCCCTTCATATACTCCATCTTCACTCCTAGTTTTTATAAGGTCTTTGACGACGAGATCTGGATTGTCCCGGCAAATCACTTCATTTTTAGCTCTTTCTATTTGCCTTTCCTCTATAGATGTTTATCAATGTAAGTGGAATGTTTTCCACCATTGGTTTGGGGGTTTTCACCTGCTTAACCCACTGTTCCTCCTTTTACAGATTTCTTCACTTGACTGTTTGATCAGGGGTCTTTGATTTCCTTGATTAGGAGTTATCAGGCTGCCTTATATCACACTTTTTGTTTTTTCCCATACCGTAAAGTTTTTATCTCTCCCTATGTGTACGTCACCTCTTTCCACATGGACGAATAGTATAACTGGTACAGAAATGGTGTAATCTCCCATGTATGATCTTCTAATGTGATAGTCTCCCCTTTTAGGGTGTTCTTCAGCAGTTGCTTTTGAAGGATGTTTCTTTTCTTTCCTTGCACCAGTCCCTTCACCTATTCAATGAGGGATTGTAGCTTTTTATGTGAGAGAAGGTGATGTACCATATCTGAAATTATAATTTTCCTATACTGAAAATGTATTTCCAATAGGTACTTACCTCAACTCATACTTCCCACCCATCCTCCCCACTGAAAATCAGTGATTCCATTTTCTACCAAAATTCAAAGTGATAGTTCGATAGAATTGAATAGTGGGAGTCACATGTACTGAAAAATACTTTTTCAGTATAGGAAAATTATAACTTCTGTGAAGTTTTTTACTACATGTTTCATAGCCATACAATATTTGTTTTACAAATAACCAAAGAGCTAATTTAATTCTTTCAAATAAAGTTTGCTTGCCCATTAAACATTTTATGTTAGTCTCTCTTATTTGTAGTAATGTAAAATGTAATTACTCGCTAAACATGTTAAATCTTGTTATTGTGGTTAGTAACTTACCTTTTGGATATAATTGGGTGTTACCATACTGCAAAGCTCTTTTTTTTTTCCTTGCACGTTATCTGTTGTAATACATATTCAAATAAATCAGAAATTTGACATTGTAAGAATTATAATTTTTTGTAAGCAAGTTTAAAATTGTGCTGATATTTAATGTTTTTCCTATTCTTAGTTGTGATATTACAATTTTGGAAAACTAATTAATGTTTCATTGCAGCTTATTTCACTTCATCATGCATAAAGTGTTAAAAATAGTGAAAATATTTGATTCTCATTGTTCATCAGGGCTTTAGGAAATATTTTTTGAGATTTTTTATTTTATTAAGGTTGTGCTAGACTTGAAACAGGTCATTTATCTAGAGAGTTTCTTTAATTCTGAAAAACAGTTTGCTTATTTATAGTTGTTACTTTTTTGTGTTAAAGGATTATCACAAGATCATACCCAATCCTATGGACTTGGGAACAATTAAGAAGAGACTTGACAATTGCTGGTATAACTCTGCAAGTGAATGTGTTGATGATTTTAAAACAATGTTTACAAATTGCTATGTGTACAACAAGCCTGGTGAGGTAAGATTTTTTATGTGTGAAATTTTTACATAATCAAAAGGCTTAATGTTGCAGTGATTTGTTTCATTTATTTATTAAAGAAGAAATTTGTCTTTATTATATTATGATCAAATAACATATGAAAGGGGTTTGTAACAAGATAGAACTGATCTTATGTATAAATGTTATCTAGTCCAGTTTATTCAAGGTTTAATACCTTATTCTTTTGTTTAATTACTCTTAATTACAAGTAATATCTAATTGTAAAGTAGATTTTATTTATGATAAAATTGCATTAATAAATTCTGGGATCTGACAGTTTTGCCAAGCATGAATGCATTTCAGTTGTCTTGTCTACCTCCCCACCTCTCTAAGCATATAAAGTTTGAAATTGATGCCAAATTGCCTTTTGTTCAGTAAATGTATTTAGCTTCATAAATAATGACCAACAAATGCTCTGCAGTCCAGTTTCATCCTCAATTTGTCAGTTTTAAGATTTCATATCGAGCTTGTTATACTTAGATTATGCATGTAAAATATTTTTCATGACATTGATTTTAAATCTAATGTTTAGTTGATCTGGACTATGTTTTGTTGTTTTTAAGTATGTCGACCAGCTTTTCATCTTGATGTGTTGCTACTTTTTCCTGTATGTGGATTTATTGATACTTTTTAAATATAGAAATGGGGTTTTATATTTAATATTTTGTAGAAATTGCTATTTTTGTTCAGTATAAGCAAATGTTTGTGCTGGTTGATTTTTTCTGATAAAAAGTACATTGTACACAGCTAAAACAGCATGGAGATGACATTTTTTATACTACTAGTTGGCTGATTATTAATTTTAAGGCTTCACATTCTGCGCATACCTACTTATACTATCAACTTGAAATATCGTCTTGAAAGTATCCTAATGCACTGTAAGTCAGAACAGTCCAAAGTTTTTATTTCTTTTAATTGATTTGTAATATTTTGTATATTAATTTTAAAAAAAATAGAGACAGATATTAAAGTCCTTTAGATTACATATTCTAAGATTTGATGCTATAGTACATATGAAAATGAGCTTTAATTTGTTCATGATACTAATATAGCTGAAGTCTTGCATTCATTTTTCAAAAAACATCACAAAAGTATGAATTCTGTATCCACATTTTATGGTTATATTAGACATTTTTCATGATACTAATATAGCTGAAGTCTTGCATTCATTTTTAAAAAAACATCACAAAACTATGAATTCTGTATCCACATTTTATGGTTATATTAGACATTTTTCATGATACTAATATAGCTGAAGTCTTACATCCATTTTTAAAAAAACATCACAAAACTATGAATTCTGTATCCACACATTTTTCATGATACTAATATA